TGGGAAAAATTCCTGCTACATGGATCTCTAGATGTCAATGTTCTGGGAATATCCTCACAAAAGCCAAAAAGGCAATACAGCCAGGTGGTGATGGCGCATGCCTTTAGTCCCAGCACTCGGGAGGCAGAGGCAGGTGGATCTCTGTGAGTTTGAGGCCAGCCTGGTCTACAGAGCAACTTTCAGGACAGCCTCCAAAGCTACACAGAGAAAACCTCTCAAAAAACGGAACAGAAAAAGAGCCAATACAAACGGCCATTAAAAGAAGCATGGCACTTAGCCACCATCAGACTGAGGCACTGACAGGCACAACAAAGCTGACCTCCAAGGCTCTCTGCTTGTCAAGCAAACCAAATTCAGGAAAGCACATACTGCTCAACTCTACACAAGACGCCTAAAATAAGCAAACCCATACAATAGCGGCTCTCAACCCTTATGGCCTGACCCCTTGGAAGTCAAGCCACCCTTTTCACAGGGGCCGCAAATCAGATATCCTGCGTATCAGATGTTTACATTACGATGCATAACAGGTCACCACGAGGAGTTAGCTTCTTACTGTAACAAGGAAATTTTCCAAAATGCCTTGTGTTGATGCACACAAAGCAGTGAGCAGCTGAAAGCCAGCAACTGTGGGCTTCCTGTGGGAGAGCTGTGTGCACCTTATGGAAAGGGTCCCCACATTCTGGGCTTCACGTGGGAGAGCCGTGTGCATCTCATGGAAAGGGAAGAAACACTGCCCCGACTCAAACAGCCCCATCACACAGACCACTGCACTAGCCACAAAATGGAAATCTACCCCAGCCCCCACAGGACCCTAGTCTGGCCCAGGCTCTGCAAACTCCCATCCTCCTCCAGAGCCCCAACCCCACTGTCAACCCCAGGTCTGGTCTGGAGAACCCTGCCCCAGATCCTCCAGCTGCCCCCCCCCCCCCGTGCCCAGGTCCCACTCCTATCACATGCCAGCTTTGTCCTATTTCAGTCACCTTTCTGCTTCTGCTCCCTGCGGGCACTCTCTAAGTGAGCCAGGTGCCTCCCATCCCAGAGTATGCTGCAGACAGCCGTCAGCCCACTGTCCTAGCCACCCTTCACCAGGGTGTTCTGTAGTGACCTCTCTGCTTCCCTTATCTGTGGGCGGCCCCTCCCCTCATTCCAGGTTCTTCAGCTTCCTCTCTAACCAAGGCCTGAATCCAACACAGACCAAAGCGAAGCCCTCATCTCTTTAGCCCTAGGGACAAGGCCTGACCATCCCGGGGATGCCTCCCACTGTCTGTCACCACTGGGGTGAGCTCACGGGTGAGCTCCTGCGGACAACTCTGTCTCATCCGGTCAGTTTTGGTAGTCACAATCTGAGAACATTGTCTGCCCCTCATCCAGATCTGAGGGTGTATTAAGACATGGCATGGAGCCAGGCAGAACTTCCTCCAGGGTTTTAGCTGATGAGACACCTCTGCCTCCTAACTGGTCTAGTACATCCACTTCCTGTGGGCTCAAGTCTCTTCAGCAGAGCACAGACACTGTCAACCGGGGCTGGCAGGGCCTGATGGTCAAGGAAGAGAAGTAAACATAGTCAGGACAGAGAAAGATCTGGCCCCACCTATCCCAGAAGAGCCTTCTAGATTGTCAATCCCCTTTAAACCTGTGACACAGCTGGCCGGCAGCTGGAGTAGTCCCTGAGGGGCACCCTGCTCCTCCCTAGACAAGCACAGTCACAAGCAGAAGCCAAGCCAGCAGTGAGCTGTGCTCAGTCTCAGTGAGCCTGCAGATCTTCAGGGTCACTCCTGAGCACCTCACCCTTAACCACCAGCCTGTAAGTGAAAACTGCCAACAGCAAACCCTCTTCAGGAATCTTCTGTGCAAGCTGGGCAATCACGTCGTCTGTCTTTCAGGTTTATCCACAGCAGCAGGCGAACCCGGGATGGGGTGGAAGAGGGTTACCATCGTGGGGAACCTGGGACTGGTGGGAGGGGCATAAGGAAACGGCCTCCTGCTCAACTTTGTGTGAACCTAAAACCCTAAAAACTCCATCTTGCATTATAGACTGTCAAAAAAACTCATGAGGCATCTCAGACCCACCCTGTGGGCTGGGCTGTTCTGTAGGTGTACAGATACTACCTGGCCTTACACCTCCCTAGATCAGCTGAGGCAACATGCATGACCAAGTGCCAAGGCCCAGCATCAACAGTCTTCTCCCTAGGGAAGCCTTCCCTCTGCTGCAGCTGTCCTCCTCAGCCAAGAGGAGCAGATCACATTCACCACGTGCAGATTAAACCCCCAGACGTGGGTGCACGGCGCTTTAAGCACGTAAGCTCGGATCCTGATCCCCTGAACTGCCAGGGAGAGGCCAGAGGACAATCCCTACAGGCAAGCAGCCAGGGTCAGAAGCTACCCCACCGCTGACCAACCATGTGACTGAGGAAAGGTGCCTCATCTCCTCAGCCCATGACACACGCCCGGTACTGAACAAGAAACCTACAGTCACTTTATGCCCACAGACAAGGCAAGGAAGCATTCACTGCACACTCAACCGCTGTACCTGTTTCATGGAAGAGAAAGACAAGATCTAGACAACTCTGTGGCTAATAATGTCATACAGCCACAGAGCAAACTTCGGGTCAAATCTGGGTCGGCCACACTTCCTCTCAGGACACTGGCACTGCTCCCAATTAATGCCTGTTCCTGCGGCTGAGTCCCTAGTCCTCTGGGAGATTCCTAGCTGAACCCTAAAGCTCCTCCTACGAGTTTCCCACCCCCTAACATCACAGGGAGTGTCCAGCAGGCTGAGTCCTCAAAGGAGGCAGGAACTATACTCAGGCCTGACCAACTGACCCTGCACAGGCACAAGGCAATGCTCTGAGCGGCCTGGCCCCGAGGCTGAGAGTATCTATGTCTAGACCCCAGCACTATCCACTTCAGGGCAGGCACTCCTGCGTGGAGACAGACAGACTCCCCCGTCGGTCTCAATTCTCACCACCCATCCCAGCCACCAGTACAAGTCACCTGTTTACCCCACTATGCTACAGGTCACCTACAGTGAGAGATCAGGTCCCAAAGTCTTCCAACTAGCAAGCCTGTATGACCGTTTACACACAGAATGGGGAAGCAGGAACCCCAACCCAATGGCCAGCACCTAAGAAAAGGCCTGTAATCCCAGACCCAGCCTTACCCAAAAGAACTGTTCCAACAGTTCTGGCCTCCTTACAGAGACTATATTCTGAAGCTACTTTAGGGCCTAGGGCTCTTGAGCACCAGCACAAGCAAGGATCTGCCCTTTCTTGACAAAACCAAGGTGACCACCTCTGTCTCAGGGCCTCAGAGAACTTAGCACCAGGTAACTGCCAAGCTCTCAGAGCAAGTCATCAAATTTGCACTCTCTCCTGAATATGGAGGCCCAACACCGGATACAGACCTAGTCAGTCAGAGGATGCAAACATGGTTTTGGAAAGCTTGTGAAGTGTATCTGGGCATCCCTCCCCCACAAGTGGTATTGGTGCCCATCAGTGACTACATAGTTGTTGGTGGCCTTGAGCTGGGCATCATACCATCTCCCCAGGGTCTCCTTGTCCAAGACCTACCAGCTAATGCCACTGCACTGACATCACAGCCCCTTCCCTGCAGGCCCCAGAGCTCCCCTGCACTGACATCACAGCCCCTTCCCTGCAGGCCCCAGAGCTCCCCTGCACTGACATCACAGCCCCTTCCCCGCAGGCCCCAGAGCTCCCACGGCCACTTTGGCACACCTCTCCCTTGGCCTGAACAACTCCATAAAGGAATTACAAGATCCTTGTCAAGTGGACGAGTGCCACCCACCAGCAGGCCTGGCCCATGGAAACCTTGGGAATGTCTCTCCGGCCCACGAGGTGACCCCACCAGAGCAATACCATGTGCTAGGGGCTGGCTGTGTCTGTCCTCTTCACAGACTAGGCTTGCTCAGGGAACTATAACCATGTTTCCCACTTAAGAAACAGAGGAGGAAACAGCTTGGGAAAGGGGAAGTGACACATCCAAGGTCACAGAACTAACTGTAAAAGAGCCCAGACTCAGGAACGATGGCTTCAGGGACAGACCCCCTGGATAACTTTTCCTTGCACTGGGGAGGATACTCCTATCACCTCCATTGTGTCCCCATGGGAAGAGAAGTTTCTTATCTATGGTGGCAGAACTTGGGAAGCTCATGTAGGATTTGAGCTAGAGAGCTCTACGTGAGGAATATTCCCAGTGGCTGCAACTCAGTCTTGAACTTCACCACGGGCCTAGCCAGAAGATATGCCCTTCCCACCCAAGCTCAGATGGAGGGTATATGAGATAGGCAAATCCGGAATCAGATGTGAAAGTTCTGTGGGCCGCGGCAGCACAGCACACAGGAACCCCAGAAGGGCAGGCAGGGAAGGTTGGCTGCACTCGACCCAAGAGGCTTAGGGCCCACTGAGCTTTCTTTCAGCAGAGCTGAGGTCCGATCTCAACTAGAACCTTAACAATGACCAACATGGGAGCCTAAACCACAAACTACACAGAGGAGGGGGAAAAAGAAAACAAACCAAAACCAGATCGTTGCCTTTTTAATAACGCGCTGAGCAATTCCCCTGAACTGTTCCGGGTCAGGTCTCAGCGTCTGCTTTCCAACCCTACTTCGTTCCTTGTCCATCTTCCTACCCTGGAGCCCAACACCGGCGCGGCGTAGCACTAACACAGGCTTCGGTTCGCTCTCTGAACACTCGCTTTTGCATCTGCGGATCCCTTTCCCGACTGACCTCTGCGGGTGCTGGGATTTGGGGGGGGGGGTCACCCAGTGACCTGCTCTGATGCAGGCTGGGGGTGGGGGTGGAGGTGGGGAGGGCTGTTGAGGGGCGGGGCTCGGCGCGGAACACAGCCCCGGGTCCGCCTCGGGGAGGGAGGAAGGCGACCTAACTGTCCAGGCACGGCCCACGCGGCGCTGACCTTGGCCTGGCGCTTCCCGTCCCGGGACCCGTTTCCTGCTGCCCGCCAGCACGCGCGGGGTTAAACAGATGAGCGGGCCTCCCGCCGCCTGCACCCCCGTAGTCACCCGCCGGACCACGGACCAGCAAGCAGCGCGTGGCGCCCGGGGCGGCCACGGACCAGGCCGACTTGGAATGGGGAAGGAGGGGACACGGGAGGACCGAGGCCTGGACGGTCCCCGGGCCGCCGTTTCCGGCCAGCCGGGTCCAGGCGGCGGCGGCGGCGGCGGGGACCCTTCCCCCATCAGGCCTCACCTCTTCCACCCCAACCCGAACCCCAAGCCCATGGCGGGCGCGGCGAGTGCGGACCGGGGCGGGCCCGCGCAGCGGAGGTGCCCGGCGGGCGGGCGCAGCCGCCGGAGTCGCGCACTCGCACGCGCGGCACCAGCGCCCCCCACCATCTCCTCCTCCTCCTCCTCCCCGCGCGCGCACGCGCGCACACAGCGGCCCCCACGGGCGCGCGCGCGAGCTCGCTCCCCCGGGCGCGCGCACGCCCACCCCCCACCGCCGCGCACGCGCGCCTCCGCGCCCGCCCGCCCGCCCGCCCGCCCCCGTCCCAAGCCCGGCCGCCCCGACGCGCGCCCCCCGGGCCCCTCGGCGCACGCCCCCCCCCCGGCCTCCCACCCCAGAGCCCGCGGCCGCCCTCACCTCCTCGGCTCCGGGGCCACCGCGCTGCACTCTTCCTCCTGTCGCCCGCCTCGCGGATGCTGGCGGCGGCGGCGGCGACTCAGACCCTTGGGGTCAGGGGGACGGGCGCCCAGGCCGGAAGTGACCTTCCCGGCCGCTTCCGCTCGCGCCTCGGCCTCGGCCTCTCCTCCTCCCCCGCCCGGGCCGCCGCCGCTTCCTCGCCGCTCTAGGCAGGCGAGCTCCGCGACCCCTGCTGGCCGCCGCCGCCGCCGCCCCTTCACCCCCCGCCCCCCGTCCCCCCGCCCGGCTCTATGGTCACCGAGAGGCGCCTCGGGACGCCACTTCCGGATGCGTCTAGGACGCGGGTCCTCCGCCCCGCTCTATGGCGCCGCGCTCCCACGGGGCCCCGGCCCCGCCCCCTCCCAGGCCGAAGGCCGCGCTCGGCCCGTTAGGCGCACACTTCCGGGTGGCGTCGGGGCGGGCCCCCAACCCCAGCCTCGCCGCCACTCGCGCCTGCGCGGAGAGCCGCCCGCGGGGACGCTCCCGCCACTCCGGTCCTCCTGGCGTCTCTATCGCCGTAACCCGTTCGGCGCCGGGGCGCCGGAGAGCTCAGGCCCCAGACACCGGGACTCAGGGTTGCACTTTGGGGACGGCCTCATCTGGAGATCGGCTCCCCCCCCCTCCTCTCCCCGCGTTTTGCAGAGGACCAGAGTTCGCGTGACCTTATTAAAGTGGCACAGCAAGAATGGCGGGGGGCCTGGGCTCGAACCTGCAGAGTGTGCCTCTAAGTGTGTTCAGCCTGTGGCTGAAAGGCTGCCGCCGCCTCGTAGGCGGGAGATCCATCACGGTCTTCGAGGATAATGGTGACGAAGAAACGGAATGGAAGAACCCCCTCTGCAGCTTCTGCTTTCAAGGCATAGTTCGAAGCATAAACGCCAATGTTAGCGTCTCTGAGACGAATGTCATTCATAATCCGTGGTCCGTGACTGGCTTCACGAAAGCAGACGTCGGTGCTGCCTGTGTTTGGACTAAGTGAGGGAGGGATGGAAGTCTTTCAAACAACCCCTCCCGAACCAGAGAAAATCCTGTTCAGCCTAAAGAAACAACGCCTAAAGGCAAAAAGATACATGACACCTGAGAACGGAAAGCATAACTGTCCCTTAGCAAGATGTGCGCCAGTAGCACCACCCAAACCCTCGCTGCCGGGCTGTTAGGGTGGGTAGAGAAGAAGGAAATTCAGGAGGAGGCCCATGCTGAGCCCTATCATGGAAAAAATCTCCAAGGTGCCTGAAACCCATGTTCAAGCGCTGGATTTCCATGGCTAGATTAAAGATAAACCAGCTGGGACCTTTCAGCTTGTGATAAAGATCACAAGCTACTCGTAACTGATTGAAAGGCTAAAGGTGAACTGACATGGGGGCTTTAAAATGGCCTCAAAGCTAAAGAGTAAACAGAGGTCTGTAAATATAACTAACTATTCCTCCCCGGCTCAAAGCTAACAGAAATAAAAGGCAAGCTGGCAGCAGTGAACACGGTTAGTTATCATCCCATCCCGAGTCCTCGGCCACGCAGAGGAATTCTCAGAATGTTAAACCGAGTCACACGAAAGTTAAATATTTCCCCCATGGTGAGCCTCGGAGGGCAGGATAGCATGAAACCCTGAGAGGAACAGCTTTGTGCCCCCCTCCAATAACAACTTCAAAGAGCAAAGCCCTGGCTACCTCAGGCTGTCTCTTACCTCTCTACACCGTATCTCCTTTTACTCTAGTAAGGGTGCAATTCTGCCACTGCCCGGCTCTCCCTAACTTCAACCAACCATCCCTCAAGTGACTTATTGTATCTGATTAGTTCCTGTTCCTTTTTCCGTGTGTGTGTGTGTGTGTGTGTGTGTGTGTGTGTGTGTGTGTGCGCGCACGCACACACACACACACACACACACACACTTGCATGCACATTCCACAGTGTGCATATAAGGTCAGAGAACAACTTGCAGGAGTCAGTTGGTTCTCCTCTTCTATCATGTGGGTCCTGGGAGTGGAGTCTAACCCAGGTTGTCAAGCTTGGCCGCAAGCACACGCCACCAGCTGAGCCCTTTTCCTGGCCCTAGCAACTGAATCTTCTAAGTCCCTGAGTTCCATGAGCCATGAGTTTTGTGCTTTTTGACACTTCCCAATTTCAATCCTAGGATGCTCCTGTAATGGTTACTGGTGGCAACAGAATACCAAACCAAAGCCACTTAAGGGAGGGAGGGTTTACGTGAAGTCGAGGTTTAAAGATCCAGTTCATCGTGTCATTGCAGCCACAGTCAGGAAATAGACAGATACAGCCGCTGGAGCTCAGCTCTCCAGAAACTCCAGCCAGGGGACTATTGCTACCCACAGTGCATTGTCCTGTGTCAATTAACTAATCCAGACAATCCTTCACAGTATGCTTGGGTCTCCTAGGTGGCTCTAGAGCTTCTCAAATCAGCCATCCATCCTTTTTAAGTTTCCATTTTTTTAACTGTGTGTATGTGTGCAGCGATGTGTGTGCCAGTGTGTACACATGAGTGCAGGTGCCTTCAGAGGCCAGAGGCGTTAGATTCCCTTGGAGCTGGAGTTACAAGTACAACGTGCCCAACATGGATGCTGGGATCCAAACCCAGGTCCCCTGCAAGAGGACCAAGTGTTCTTTTTGTTGTTTTGGTTTGGTTTTTTGTTTTTTTTTTTTTTTTTTTTTTTTTTTTTTTCCAGGCAGGGTTGCTCTGTAGCTTTGGAACCTGTCCTGGAACTCACTCTGTAGACCAGGCTGGCCTCAAACTCACAGAGATCTACCTGCCTCTGCCTCCGGAGTGCTGGGGTTAAAGGTGTGCACCACCACCGCCTGGCTGGACCAAGTGTTCTTAACTACCGAGCCACCTCTCCAGTTTGGCAATCAATCCTTTTTTATTTAGTCTTATTTTATATGCATTGGTGTTTTTGCCATGTGTGTAGGGTCCCCTGGAACTGGAATCACAGGCATTTGTTTACAGTCATTTGTGAGCTGCCATGTGGGGTGCCGGGAACTGGACCCAAGTCCTCTGGAAGAGCAGCCAGTTTCCCACACGAGGCCCAGTGGCTGCCAAGGCTGGCTCCTCCTTTCCACTACATCTGATTATTTCTGGAGTGTCTCTTCACACCCGAGGGTTACACTTCTCCTCTAGGCATCTAAGTGTGACCATGTGCTTGGTTCTCACCAGTAAGTAAGATGGAGCAGAAATGCCACAGGTCACTGCCAGGTCAAGGCAGGCGCTTAGGAAACAAATATACCGGCCTGGCATTCTTTTTGGTTTTTGCTAGATGTTACACGTGAGAGAGAAAGCGGTGGTAAAGCCAGAGAGACCTCGGTGTGCGAATGGGTGCCATGTCCCAGCCCCAATCCAAGATGGGTACATGATCAAAAAATAACATCCTGGGGTTGGAAGGATGGCTCAGAGGTTAAGAGTGCTCGCTACTCTTCCAGAGCTCCCCATGTTTGGTTCCCAGCACCCACATATGGTTGAACTCTCAACCACCTGTACTCCGGCTCGAGGAGATCTGAGTCTTCCGGCCTCTGCAGGTACCTATACTCACATGCGCAAACCCACACATACGGGCACACATATATAGACATACTTTAATAAAGTGTTTGAAATCAATCAAAACCATGAAACTGAGTAAGACGGGATGAGAGGAAAGTGACATTTAAGCAGAGAAAAGACCGAAAACTGGTGGGTGTGGAACTGTCACCTGACCCAAAGCGGCCAATCGGTGGCCTTCCCTGGCATTCTCTGGAACTGAGTTGAAAGTCTATGTATGGCTCCTGAGGTCACTGAGGTTGACAAGCTCTGGAGCTGGGAGCAGCCTTGTCGCTCAGCCTGTAGGAAGAGCCTGTCTACAGAAGGCAGGGAGTATGGAGAAGAAGCAGACAGGGAAAGGCCCAGCCCTTCCCAAGCCAAAAACCCCCGGTGCCCCTAAGGCTTCCTGGAAACCCTACTGGCTTCTCTCATTCTTCTCTCCGAAGCCATGTCTCCAAACTCCCAGGAAAAACCCATATCGGCCTTTAGTTACTTTCACCTCCCTGGGTTTCTGTCACCTGGCTCCACGTTAAGCAACAGGCAGGTTGCCTCTGAGGTGGAATGCTGCTCACGGGAATTCCTGGGTATAGATGTCTGAGTGGCAGCCCCCACCAGAGAGCCCTTCACAAACCTTCACCCTTCCAGGGGGATGCCCTCTCCCAGAGAGTGATGGGAACGGCTGTCAGTAGCAGAGGGGGCTGCAGCTGCTGAAGTAAGATCCCTGTAAGGGTCCCTGGTCCACCCCACCACCAACACACACGCACACGCACACGCGCGCGCGGTTTGCAAATGATCACTACTAAAGTTAGCAACCATTTTTCAGCTCTCATCAGGAACCGCAAACACATTTTTTTTTTTAATCTTTCCTTCTTCACATGAGGGAGTGTGAGTCCCTATCTCAAGGTGAGGGCCTAGGATGAGCTATATCACCCAAAAGCCCATGAGAAATGTGGAGTCCCGAATTCCCTCGTAGACTGACCCAGTCAGGCCTGTATTTAAATATATATATTTCGTTGTTTTTATTTATGTGTGAGCGCCCTCCTGGCATTTTGTATGTGGCCACAGAGGCTAGAAGAGGACACCAGTCCCTTTGAGCTGGAGTTAACAGGTGGTTGTGTGAGCCCCACCCCCAACATGATCCTGGAAACAGAATGTAGATCCTCTGGAAAAGCAGCAAATACGCCTAACTTCTGAGCCTTTTCTACAGCCCCCAGAATCTGCATGTTAACCCTGACCCAGAGGGATCTTTCCACTCAGGCTCAAAACGGACAGTAAGAAGGACTGGGTGGGGTCTCACTGGCTACACAGTTCTTTTTCTTCTCTGACAGATCGCACTGGCGTGCAGAAAGATGGCTCACTGGATAAAGGTGCCTGCCACCAAGCCTGATGGCCTTAGCTCAGTCTCCACATGGCAAAAGGAGAGAGCTGACTCTCACAAGTTGTTCCTGACATGTATACACTGTGTTGTGCACCTCCTTCCCCTTTAATGCTGGGCAGTGACGGCGCCTTTAGTCCCAGCACTCGGGAGGCAGAGGCAGGTGGATCTCTGTGAGTTCAAGGCCAGCCTGGTCTACAGAGTGAGTGCCAGGACAGTCTCTAAAGCAATACAGAGAAACCCTGTCTCAAAAAACCAAAATAATAATAATAATAATAAACAACTCATAAGTGGATATTAGACATAAAGCAAAGGACAACCAGACTATAGGCCACAACCCCAGAGAACGTAGGAAACAAAGAGGACCCTAAGAGAGACTTACAGGGATTCGCCCAGGAAGGGGAAAAAGATGTCCTGAGTAAATTGGGAGCATGGGGGGTGGGAAGGAGTTTGGAAAGGGAGAGGGGAGGAGAGAGTGGGGGGAAATGTATAGCTCAATAAAAAAAAATAAACCTTTTTAAATGTTAATAAATAAAAGATTGAACTGGGGACTGGCATTCGACACTAACCCCAACAACCCGAGTTCCATCCCCGGGCTGGCTACACAAAACGAACCGCTCCAGGCTGAACCAACCCTGAGCACTTGTCTGTCTGGCACTTGCCATTTCTCCTCAATAAGGAAATGAGAAGCCTTTGAGGAGGGCCGGCTTCGGCAAGGATAAAACGCTGGAACGATAACACAGGAAGAAGCTGTAAAACCTGGTCAGCTTTCTCTTTCTGGGAGTGGATTGGTCTTGGAAGCCAGGAAGAGTTCATCTGCAGATTGTAAAGGGTTCTGGAAAACGCCTCCATCCCGCCCCATCCCACCATCCCCCCTCCTTGCAATAGCAGGTGTTCCTGGAAACTAAGCCA